CACCGTGGCTTGGGCTCGGATAGGATAGGCCCATTTCACACCGAGTTTTGCCGGCTGGCTCGTGTGCCAATCGTTGTTGGTGTTGGCGTGAAGACGTGTTGATTCTTGCGGCGTCGTCGTCGTCGTCGTCATGATGCAAAATTTTGTACGAGGATTGGTGCATAAGTTTTCGAGACTTTTTGAAATAAAGATCAACGGAGTTTCAGCAATTCCAAAAAATTTCTTCACTTGCATAGCCTCGTCATCTGGCAACACTTCAGTGCTGGTCAACGTTCGAGTACAGTTCTCTCCGCTGATTTCAATGCATTTTTTTTTCGCATGCGATAAATCCAACGATTGAAACAAATGCCGAAAATCGCGTTTTGTTGGTTGATTAGGCACCCCTGTGACTTCTGACTGTTCCCGACATTGAAGAACGACCTGAATGGGATCGATTTTTAAGACAGGGACAGCCTCATTTCCGCCATCCAAGTGCGGCTGAATCAACGAACGGAACGCGATTTTCGGCATTGTTTTGATCGTTGGATTTATTGCATGAAAAGAATGCGTTTAAATTGGCGGAGAGTATGTTGAACCGCACTGAAGTGTTGCCAGATGATGGGGCTATGCGAGTAGAGCAATTTCTTTTGGAATTGTTGAACCTCCGTTCAGTCCGTTGGATCTATTTCGCGAAGTTTCAAAACTTATGAAACAACCCTCGGATATATTGTGAACATTAAGATGAAAAGAAGAAGAATCAGGCAATGTGTTCAATGCCGCGCGTCCGTTCGGTGCTCAACCCAACCCAACCCAACCCGGGTGACGTCCCTTATGTGTACAGGCGGACTCTTTCTCTCTCTTTCTCTCTTTGCAACGAAATTGAAGGGACCAGAAGAAAAGTCACTGTAGAGAAAAATTTGTTGTAGAGAACCCCTAGAACATATTTAGACAACCCTACGGAACCACAAAAGAAAATCGTTGTAGACAAGATTATTTGTAGAGAGTCCACCTGGTATATTTTCAGGCTGTGTTAGTTGGTCCTCGCATGATACACTGTGATGTAATGCATATGTTTATGTGTTACAATAGATTTAGAAAAAAAAGATCGTAGCTAACCTCCCTTCTATCGCCATTGGTTATTCTTCGGCTTTAAACCCCCACCCCCCTCCTTTTTTCTTCTTCTTCGAAGCAATCTAAGGCATGGTGTCAGCCATGGGTCCCCGTTTAACAGAAAATTGTTGAATCGAAATTTGGACAACCCAAACTCGAAATTTGGATTTTGGCAGAGTAATGTCCTCGATAGCGAATCGCATCAACGCTTTATTGTACCGTAATTTGTCTCCAAGCATCCTCTTGGAAAAAAATAATAATGTTGGAATTTGGGATCTAAGAGATGGAAACCGTTGCTGAATGGATGAGGTTCATGAGAGGGTGAACATAAGTTATTTTTAGGTGTATTTACGTTGGTCTCGTCAATTGCAAGTTTTTTTTTTTTTCAAGTGTTGCGGAAATGAAGAAACGGTGACGTGGACCGAGATAATGAGTCAGAATAACCATAGGAAAAAACGCTTATCATCGCTTTAAAGAAATGCACGTGTTCGACGCTGTATTTAAGTATTTTATCAAGTTTCCTAGATGTTTCTTAGACATCTGGACTTTTCTCAAAATACTCGCCTGGTTTTTTAAAAATAAAAATGAGCCAAACAAAGAAATACTGTAACTTACTTAAATGCTGAATTTGCAGTACAGTAGATCATAGGAAGTCTTGAACTTGAAAGGAGGTAATATTTCAAGAGGTACTTTATTTGTCACGCGTGCACTAGTCTATGTCGAGGTTTCTAGATTTTTCAGAGATTTTTAAAATCTGAAAACATTGAATTTCGTACTCAATCATATGATTAGGGAATTATTATTTGAAAATGAAGAAACGCTGAATGTCTGCGGCATGGAGGCAGTAAATTCATTATAAATACAGTTTTGGGTATATGCCGGAGATGCCTTGAGGTTTTGTGGACGATTAATTGCGGGGGGGGGGGGGGGGGAAAAAAAACAATGAGCTGAATGTCTGCGGCATTGAGGCAGTAAATTCATTATAAATACAGTTTTGGGTATATGCCGGATATGCCTTGAGGTTTTGTGGACGATTAATTGCGGGGGGGGGGAAATCAAATACAGTACCTTACTTCGAGCTCAAATTTGAATGACCATTGAATGAGATATTTGAGTTATTCGTGTCGAATTTCGAAGAAAAACGAAAGAAGCACCAAAAATGTGTCTTATGCATCCATCTGAGGAACAATTTAAACCGCTCAAGTTGACGAGATTCCCATCAGGGTTCTCAAGACGTTGAATATGCAATTATGTTTGCCTCCAGGAACAATTCAATGTACAGTATTTGACAATTTATCGCGGGATGTCAGTTTAAACCCTGGATGCAGTGATCGTCCTCCAGCTTGATGTGCAATGTATAAACTGGGGACATTTGAATGAGTTGCTGGATTCCGAAAAGTTCTCATGACCTAAATATTTTTTTTAAATTCAAGCACAGTACTTGAGAAAATCTAACGCCTTAAAAAACGGATTGACGTGGTCCAATTTCTGAATAAACTGACTCGCTGCAGTCGCTGTCGTTTTGCTTGAGGCTAAAAAATTGTTTGAAATAAATTTACCAAGATTTGTTCAGTCTTTGAAAAATCAGTTGTCTTTTAGAGTGATTTTGAAAGATTCCGCCGAGAATGCTCATCCTTCTCATCACCTTGTCGGTTTTTACTCATTTAGAGACTAAGCGGACCCTTGTCCCAAAATTTGAAAAAGAATGCAGAATTCCTGAAGATTCAGAAAAGAATTTTCACGATTAGCGATCAATTCATGGCGTGGAGAAAGGAAAAAAATGAATAAATGAAAGAATTATTTATATTTTATTACATTTAGGATCTGGCGGCATCTCTTCTGTAAAGCAGGAAGATGGTTTGAATCTTTCAATGCGCATGGGCTTTTTTTTGTGTGGCAATTAGTGTGGTTTGGCCCTCATGCGTCGGGTACTGCGACTGGTTTCTTTTTCATGGTTCCAGCGCCAGGCACGCAACCAAGGAGCGCCTGGGTTTGGTTGCACTGTTTGTCGTCGTGCCGCAGTTTGTTCAACGAGCCGGCGTTTGTTCTGCCGATGATTTGTTCGGCGCCCGGTTTTCTAAATTATTTTTTCTCGTTAGCTGTTCGGCAGCGGGGGTTTTGAGAGATCCGATTTTGTGCCTAGGTTCTCTTCTGCCGAATGTGGAATTTTCTTTTTTCTAAGGAGGAGGGGGGGGGGGGTCTGAAATGGGTGCTTCCCGCGTTGGAGTCTTTTAAATTTTTACAGACTCATATTCGATCAATTTCTGACCATCGTTGCAAGTTATACTCACCCATGTTGAAATTGAAGAAATTATCAATTGATTTAAAGTGTGCATCAGGATCGCCTTGAGGAAATTACGTTTAATGGTTTATAAATTTGCAGGCTGTTTCAAGTTATGCCGAAAATGTCAAAAAATCGAAAAGCGTCGGTTCCTGGTGAAAGAAAAATTGGCACAGAAAAATATTTTCATGCAGAAGTCCATCTGTCTATGATAATGATATTTTCTCGCAAACAAAAAGAGTGTGGGGAAAAAGTTGCCCGAGTTTTCGGCAGGAAGTAAGAACATTTCTTGGGAAATAATCAGAGTGCTGGCTTTCTCAAATTGTTTTCTTTGATTCCGCAGTTGTTTTGAGAATTCTAGCTCAAAAACGCGTATGAAAAATTAGTAAAACTAAATTTCTAGGAACTGGCTTTTGAACCTCCCCTCATATTCCATTATTTTTCTGAATATTTAAATTGCGAAGACACTCATTTAGGAAGCATTGGTGATTTACATGAACTCGGATTTATCTTCGGGTCTCGGAGAAATATTGCTTGTCAGACTGTTAACACTGCGGATAAACTTTTGATCGCGGTTCATTTATATCTTTTATCCGAAGATCCGTTGGAAAAAGCCAGTTTGCCGGAACATGTGACTAGTTTCAGCACGCAGGTTGTTGTGGCTTACCGTACTTGAAAATATGACTGTGATTCAGTTGAACATGTCAAAAACTCGTGAACGGTTTATTTTTAAAATTTCAGATTTATTCTGTGACGACTCTTCGGATTCCGAAGGAGAGTTTCTTTTCGGAGGACCTCCGAAAAAATTGCCTCCAAAACCAGCCACTGCCAAGACTTCGATCGCATCGAGTGAGTTTTTTCAATTTTTATACCTTTGTCCATTTTTTTTATACACGTGCTTCGTATTGATTTCAGCAGCTCCTGCAGTTCAGTCATCAGCCCCATCTGTGCAGAAAATCGTTGAAACTCATCCTGTCGCTGGTGAGATTTTTTATTGCTTCCTTTTCAAAACAAACGGACGCGATAACTGGGGAGAAATTTGTCTTCGTTCGCTGCTATCTTGAACGTTTGATTAGGAAACCCGTTTTCTAATCCGGGATTCTTTAAAGTGGGTTACTCGGAACTATCTTGCGAATCCCCGTTTCAGCATCGGTTTGTGCAAGTGTCAAGATATAACTGATTATTTAAGAAGCGGAAAAGAAAAAAGACTGGGTTTTGAACGGTGGTATCTCTTGAAAATTTGGAGACTGTAGGAAAAAGCGTTGAAGTGAAGTCCATTCAATTGCATTTCGATGGAAATCTAATTTCTTCAACTTCGATTGTATCCATATGGTTATTTAAAAATACTATATACTGTACATATTACAAAAAGGGGGAGAAGTTGCCTCATTCTTTTTGATGAATGCATTTTCATTCGATTGAGTTCGAGAAGTTGAAATTCAACATCGAGCTCAGTGAAAATAAATTCTGCGAGTCTTACATATTAAGCAACAAAAGCTTGTCGCCCGACTAAAATTGCACGAAATTGAGGCCGAAAAAAAATGTATACCGGCTGCTAGCATTTGTGAACAAAAATTTGCACGATTTTGTTACAATGCGTTAATCTTTCTTAGGCTGGAAGGCTTGTTTAATATTAAAGCTCGGCNCATTCTTTTTGATGAATGCATTTTCATTCGATTGAGTTCGAGAAGTTGAAATTCAACATCGAGCTGAGTGAAAATAAATTCTGCGAGTCTTACATATTGAGCAACAAAAGCTTGTCGCCCGACTAAAATTGCACGAAATTGAGGCCGAAAAAAAATGTATACCGGCTGCTAGCATTTGTGAACAAAAATTTGCACGATTTTTTTACAAGGCGTTAATCTTTCTTAGGCTGGAAGGCTTGTTTAATATTAAAGCTCGGCTTAAAACATGATGTAAATTCCTGGAATATAGATAACGATCATATTCAGAATCTCAAGGGGAAGAATCATGTTTTAATATCTCAGACTTAATTTTTCTCAATAGCCGTCGGATCGCGGTTAAACCCATTTGCCTTAAAACCATACGTCATAGTAAAGGTCAGTCGACCTTGGACCAGCAAAAAAATCAGGCGGGGGACGTTTTGAGTTGAGGAAACAAACATTTTTGTCAGGGGCAAAAAAAAATAGTTTCAGAAAATCTTAATTGATGATATTCTGGGCTTTAAATTACTTTTTAAATGAGTTGACAGGATGCTGAACCTGGAGGCAAGGGTTCATTTGCTCAATTAGTCTTCCGCTTCCTTTTAAAAACACAGCGTTGCATTTTTGTTGCTTTTCTCTCGCCTGTGTCAACGAAATAATAGCCACAAGGCCTCCAGAAAATTCAAGTGATGGAACTTCGAGAGGATAGCCTTTGAGTTGAGGAGGTTTTATTTTTTATTTTTCGAATGAAATTCGGACGGGGACGAGTTATCGATTTTCAACTGTCATTGAATTAATTTTCCGTGTTACTCCAGGTTCATTTTGCGATTTAGTTACAAAAAAAAATTCAAAAATGACGCATTTTTTTTATTCTGGCCCATTTTTTATGAATGTACAGTATATTTTTATATTTATTCGAAGATGCGAGATCGTTCATGTTTCATCGCATTTGTCCACGAAAATTCGAAAATTTTCTTTCCTCTCTTCGTATAATCCTAGTCGTATCACCGGAAAAGCCGAAAAGCGATCGATTGTCCAGAACAAAGGACTTGTTTGCCGACAGCGACTCCGACGGCGACGATTTGTTCTCCTCTGCGAGAAGCGAGCCGACGTCTGCTGCCAAACAAACATCTGGTAAACAAGAAAAATCGTCAGTGTTGGCAGCCGCCGGTGTGAAGGAAACCTCACCAGCGGTTGGCAACAAGCCTATCAAAGCATCAGTCGTCGCTTCACCAGCAGCGTCTTCGCTCTTCGACGACGACGACGAGGATTTTTTGTTTCGTCCTGATCCAAAAGAAACTGGTGAGGAAATTCCCAAAAAAAGAAAAAGAAATTATAATTTGGGCGACTTGTCTGATGCCTTTTTTTTCGTTTCTTTCTTGAAATAATATGCCAGTGTCTGTTTCTGAGAATATGGATACTAAGGACAACGCAGACTCGATCAAGGATGAAGAACCGAGAGTAGCGCCTAAAAAGAAGGTTCCTATTCGCTTCTTTTCCAGTCTTCGACTTGAATAGCAAGTTTATCAGTCCTTTTTTTTTTATTCATTCAGATTCCAGCTGGTGCTGTCAATATCTTCGCCGGGATGGGCATAAAACTTCCAGCAAGATCGAAACCATTGCCCGCTTCTTCGTCGTCTTCCTCGAATACTTCCGGCGCTTCTTCCCCTGTGACGAAATCTGCTACGACAACTAGTGTTAATGAAGTTCCGAAACCCGCCAGTGATTTTAATGCGGAGAAATCTGTGAAGAAATCAGTTGGTGTCGTGGAGAAGAAGAAGGAAGTCAAACGGTTATTTAGCAGTTCTGAGTCCGAGTCTGAGAAAGCAGTCAAAAACTCGGTCGCGGAAGTTCCGACGTACGTATGCATTTTTTCAAGCATACATAATGTGGCTTTTTCCGATTAAACCCTGGGGATCCTTGAAATCCTGATTTTCTGTGTTTTTTTAACCTGTGTGTAGCCTGAATTTAATTTTTTTAATAAATCTCTGAGATAATGTGAAGTATATCAAGACTTGGGTTAGGAAAAAACGAACTAAAATCCTTTCTTGTCATTTTCTTGCCTTTTGTTGAAGTTAAAGCTAAGTTAAACTTAGCTTGAGATGGCCGAAACGGTGAAAGATTGTACGTTCATTGTGTGAATGTCGCCAATTTTACATTGCTGTCCTAAAGAAAGCTTGCTCCTTGAGTTCAGGTTAGATTAGGTCAGACTGGTTCTGGTTTTTTAAAATCATTTCTGCTCAGGTGAGCTATTCAGGCAAAACGTGAATCGACAAGCTAGTATTGGCGCTAATAGAATCGAAATCTGCTCGATGTTCAATTGGATTCCTTATATTTAATGAAAATTGATTTATGTTTTTATTTTCAGATTTAAAAAGCCTACAGGGGTAGAAGAGAAACAGAAGCCACAGGTTACCAAAACCTTGTCATCGAAACCCAAAAAGCAAGCTTCTTCGAAAAACCTATTCAGTTCGTCTGCGACAGATTCCGATGACGATATTTTTGCATCAGCCCGAAGCACAAAGCAAGCATCGTCTGTCAAAGGAAAAGTTGTCACAGAGCCGATTGTTCCGCCGGCGGACTTGAAAAAAGTGAAATCTGCTCCGCAAGAAGTTAAGAAGAAGCCAGAAATCCAGGAAGTCAAAAAACCAGCTGTCAAGAAAGTTGATTCCGTGCCGAAAATTGAAAAGAAATCGGAGCAGAAAAAAGCGTCTGCGAAAATTTTCGACTCTGATTCTGAGAGTGATGCTGACATTTTTTCCAAGAAACCAGTTTCAAGGAAGGATTCAAAACCAAATTCGGCCGTGAAAGCTTTACCACCGTTGCCAAAACCTAATTTAAAAACCGAAGTCACGCCGAAAAAAGCAAAATCTTCCAAAATTGTACCCGGAAAGCTTGCGAAATCAACTCCGCCTGAACAACCCGACGTTGTTTCCGAAACTGTTGAACAGGAAATTGAGTCTCCTGAAAAATCTGCTCCGAAAGTGAACCTTGAACCTGTAAAAGTTGAAAACACTCCTGCGGAACCTTCGTCGCCTGTCTCCGAATCTGAGACGAAAAATGCAGAAACAAACGAAGAAGTTGACTCAAATCCCATGTCAAAAACTCGTGCCAGTTTTCTTGGGGTAAGTTTTGTCTGTTGTCTTGATACAAACAAAAGCCCGCTGGATATAATCTTAAAAGCTACTAACAACAATGAATAGCTTTGAAATTGGCCCACTGCTGAAGATCTAAAGTTATTACTCATGAAATGGTGAATTCGTAAGACAATTTTGCGTGACTTCGACGCAATGTTGTCAGGTTTTCTATGCTTTTCTCCAAAGTGATTTTTTTTGTTAGCGCATTTTCTACTGCTGCCGTTCTGCTGATCAGAATCTATGTGCCACCTTCCCCTCTGATTCCGCCAAAAATAATCATCTTCGACTAATCTTGCAGAATTCAAGTTCATCGTCGGATTCCGAAGATGAAGCACAGGAAAAGCGGGCAAAGCTTGGCACAAGGGGCATTGCAGCCAAATTGGACAGTGTTTTTGCGAAAGGCGGAGTGGGGTTGGGTGGGTTTCCTCGGAAAGTTCCTCCCGGGGGTGTGAGCATGTTTGGCGGGGGTATTCCACCGAAACTTTTGAAATCGCAACGGTCTTTTCCGGGAGAAAATGGCCAAAGTGACGAGCAAAAAGTGACGAGTGACGCGAATGCTTACCAAGAAAGGCGCGAGGTGGAGAATGATGCAACTCTTGTTGAAGCAGGTACAAATTTTGAGCTCAAATTGTTTTTCAATACTTTTACTTGAAAAATGAAGTTGCACAAGTTTCATAGTCAGGATCCTCCGGACTGAAGTGGGATTAATGATGAGATTTGGAGCTAGCCTCTGTTCATATTCCAATTTTTTCTGCGATTATGCCTTTGTACCTGAGTTGACTGATTGATTTATCGCCAATTGGCATTTCTAGGGCTCTCTTCACATCAAGCATGGAATTCAGGAAAATTGCCAACTTGGAAGCTTTTCTTTAGAACAAAGTTGTTAAATCTGGGACATCGTCAATATGAATATACTGTTATTCAATTATTTGAAGAAATTGATCGCATTTAGACAGTCCGGAAATTTCATAGATGATGCACATGTGTCCACATAATGAGTTCACCTTCTCCTCTTCGTATTTCTGCTACTTCAACCTTAATTAGCAAAAATTGAAAACGCTGCTCAGAAAAGAATCAAATCTTTATTAGTTATGCAGTAATTACATTCATCGCTCATCGTTTGACTTTCGGGGGTATAAATGAGAAAAACCTCGTGAAGTAGCAGAATCAATTTTCTGTACAGTACTCGAAAGATACCAGTACAGGTATTCTCGAATGCGAGCAGAGGAGAAATTCTGTGACTTCTGTTATAAAAAAAAGGAAAAATGTATCGCATCTGAACGTTGCTTGTTTTTATGACAGGTTCTCCAGCGGAAAAAAGTTCATCAACGCTTGAAACCGTTACCAAGCCTGATGAGGAGGAACAGACAACTGACAGGAAAGAGACCAACCTGTTGCCGAGTGCCACATTTCCGTTGCTTCATTGCACATCCAAGGTTTGCTAAATATTCTCAAGATTTTCTCGCAATTATCTATCCGCTCATGGCTGACAGCCCATGTTCTCCTAGTGAACAACGAATGCCCGTATTTACCCGAGTTCCGCGAGCACTTTTTTTCTCAGCGAAACTAAGGCAGAAAAGTGAGGTTCGCGTGGTATGCAATTATAATTTGTTTAAAAAAAACCAAAATGAGAAAATCATTTGTGCATAAGGGTATCATAAGGGAGTATTTTTTGGCGAAAAATTCTGAACAGGAACTTGCATTTCGCTCTTGACATGTTATAATGCCTCAGGTTATCACGATTGTTCGCATGATTATCAAGTCAAGCACCATTTTTTGAATAAAAAAAATGATACTGTTATTATAAACCAGCAAAAACTTGGGTGTCATAGACAGGGGTAGGTTTTGGGGCAAATTATATGTAAAAAAAAAAATAATTAAGGTGCTTGTCTTACTTGAGTTAATATTTTCAATGCTTTTTTTCTTCTTAATTTCAGACCCGAATTGGAGGAGTTGCAATGCGCAAACGACGTCCGCCCACGAAGCAGGGTCGCAAGGAACAAGCCCGCTTTTCCGGGGTGGACTTTTTGGACGACACTGTCGATGCCCTGACAGCATTCGCCGTGACGCCGACAGAAGTACAAAGCATGCCTGATGATGATGAGCCTTCGAAAGTGGACGAGGAGGTATCGTCACGCGTTGATCCAATTCTTGGAAAGGAGTCTGATGAAGGAGAAACTGAGGTTGCTGAGCCTGGAGTACAACGTCTTCAAGAAGAATCGCCAGAGGTCTCTTTTTTTCTCTCTCTCTCTCTTTCTCTCTCTATCTTGTATGTGCGCGAGGAATTCTTCTGGTGAAGGTATTAGAAAAGACTTGGATTATTATAACTAAGGTACCGTTTTTACTCCAGTACCTTGTGTAAGACATGCACCCCAATTTTTCACCCAAAAATGTTAATTCCTATCCCCGAGTAAGACGCGCACCCCATTTTCAGTGACTGAAAGCTACAAGATGTAAAAAATCAGAGGCACCAGGATTAAAATTGTTCCATGGACTCAACCTGAATTCAATTCAATTGTTTTGATTTAAAAAAAAGCTCCTGTCAAAAATGTCCAGATTGCTGTAAAATCTCTGCACAACAAACTTTTGGGGGACTAAGGAAAAAGTTTGTCGTACTGAATAACTCGTTAAAACGAGATTCTCAAAATTGATGTCTTTAATCAATTATATCTTTGGGATTCTCAGATTTTTGTGGTTTATTTTTTGAAAAACTGAATGATCTTATGGAGGAATCTCATGAGTGATCTTCTGAAAGGATATCTCCAGAACGAATGAACTCGATAATACTTATGCATATTCTCTGCTTGATTGTTCGTCCATTTTAGGTAACGAAAATGTCCGCGGTAGCAACGGAAAACAAGCAACCCTCTCCCAGCACGGAGCGACTGGAAGAGGAGAAAAATGAATCTTCGGGCGATGAAACGTCGTCGGACTATTCAGAGTTGTTCTCTACTCCGCCAACCCGGTTGAGCACAGAACCAATTGAATCAAGGAAAACATCCGAAACCCAAAAGGAAATTGTGAGCGAGAGTGAATCCGATAAGGCAAGAAGTGGTTCGGTGTTCGAGTCACCGCAAGATGACGATTCAGAGTTGTTTGGCACTCCCGAAGAACGTTCAAGTGTCAAGAAAGATGCGTCCAAGTTGAAAAAGTCGATTTTCGACGATTCCGACGAATCGGATGATGGTGAGTATCATCTTTTTCATGGAAATACTCCTGCGTTCCTCACGAAAAGTATGTGTACTGCATAATAAAAGTAGGTATTGCAGGTAATCGAACATCGAAACAACACTTGAAGATAAAACGCGCTTTATGCTTAGCAAAAAACAACTAATTATACACGCATACGCTGATTTTATGGTTGATGGCTTTTTGTATGCGCCAATTACTCACTTTGATGATCAGTTTTTCGAATTGCAATCTTCTAAAATTGAATTTACCATCCGTCAATTTAGGGCACGATAATTCCTAACTACTTCGACACGTGCCCTAAATTCAGTTTGAGGTAAAATCGAAATATCGTCTTATGTACAAAATGTGAAATAATCGGAAGCGACTTGAGCCAGAAAAGTTTCGAAAATCTCAATTGAAAATAAAATTTCGAGTGGGTAGTTCATAGCGTTAGCGAATCAATTTTTTGGAAGTTCTGTGCTCAATGCTGAATGATATACTGTACTACATGATTATATTAACTCAGCTGTTATTTCTTGCAGACATTTTTGCGGAACCCCCGAAGTCAACCGTGAAGAAAGAAAGTCTATTTGATGACTGAAGAGGTCGTTGATTGCACTTCGTTCCTATGGGCAAGTCTGCAAGTTCTCTTCTTTTTCGTCGCTTTCGTTTTAGAAGATATACCGTAACATTTGTTTTTTTATTATCGGAGGTGGAAGTTGGAAATTTGCTTTGAAGTATTTCATCCGGTTCCGGAACTTTTCGATTGCTTAAGTATCATTTTATTGTGGGACAGAGGTGCGTGCGCGATGTGTGATTTAGTGATTTTTTGAGTGCCTTCCGTAAGAGGCGAGATCGTCCTGTGCTTTCAATTTTTGTGGTGGAAATTCCGTGGGCTCGAGACCCCAGAAATGCATCCATTATTTTTTAGTCGACCACAACGGAATAATTTTATTTTTTTAAGAAAAATATGAGTTCCTTTTCCGATCGTACAGCCGATTAGATATATGCGCATCTCGATCAAGTGGGTTTCACCTGGGGAATCTCGCATATACAGAGATTCAACGATTGCAAAACCTGAACGTGTATATACTGCGTCTACAGTGAATCATCACATCTTTCTCGTACGTATCGTATCCATTTACAACCTTGAAAGCGAAAAAACTTGGCGCGTAAAAAGAAAGAAATCACGCTGGTACACGAGCATTCACAATTCAAAAAGGAAGGAAGCCAGGGAAATCCCTTTTTCATCAACAGAAGCCGCGCAGGAAAAGTCGAGTTCTCGTCAGCTAGATGTCACTGCCGGTTCGCGGGAACAATAAACGCCTCCGGATCATTCTTGTAGGCATTGACGTGATGTTCGTGTCGATGCGAGCCGGCGGCAGAGGCTGGAATCAAGCTGACGACGTTGGGAGGCAGTCTGGCCGCCGTTTGCCGATACCTCGTTTGGGTTGCTTGCCTCTCCTCGAGTAGACGTGGGTACGCATGGGCCTGGGCCACGGCGGGTACGTTGGGCGTAATTAGATTGTCCTAATGAAATTCAAAATACGCAGCTTTTTTTAAATATAAAAATTCTTTTAGATTAGTTGTTTTCTAAAAAATTATATTTGGAAGAAGAAATTATTTTAAATGCTGAGCGTGTTTTGACTCGCATTAACCGAGCGGCTTCAGAAGCGAATTTTTCAGTGGAACAAAACCATCTGATTTAAATAACGATCTTTATAAATTGAACCCGCGAGTATTATACACTACTTATTTTAGAATAATTCCGAGCTCTCGAATTTCAACTCAGCATTGTGAAAACCGACCCTTTCCACAATGATTTTCTTGCAGAAAATTTGAGTTGAGATAAAATCGCATAATACGAGTACATTGAAAAAAATTGAAAAACTATTTTCCGCATGTTGATCGCGGTGCTCATATATGACGAAAGACGTTCAATAATTATTTTTCTTTGCAGGTGAACTTTGAAAATATTGCTTCTTACCTTTGAAATAAACTGTACATTCTAGTAAAGATGGCAAATTTTTTGGGGTATCATATCTTGAATAAGTGCTTAACAGATACTTACGTGTGCGTTGGTTTTGACGTATCGGTAGTTTGAAAGCTTATTTTCGCGTCGCTGCACTTCTTCAGCCTCCCAATTTGATGCTCCTGAATGCTCCATCTAAGAAACGCAAAAAAATGCTGATACTCGTTAACAATAATTTGATATAATAGCTTTGAACATGAAACTGATTCATAAGTTTTTTATTCGGGCATCGTGCCAACTTTTCAACCTTCATCCAGTTACATCTGTCAAATCCAGCCTCTGTCAAAGTTGTTAGCTTTTGAGAAACAAATACCTGTGCCACACACTTAAAAAAAGTTAAAAAAAAAAATGGCATATACATATTTAGGAAAATTCTCTTGAATTAATCGCAGTTAAATACGGTAAGTTAATCTAATCCACGTCATCTGTAGGAATTCTGAGTAATGCAAATGAGTGAATATAACAAGGTGAAATTGCCTTCAAGAACTTACTTTAAAAAAATTAATGTACTGCACAAGCAGTAACATAGTAAATGCATCAAAGGTAGTCATGAAGTCTCTTATATTTATCTGGCATTTCAGAAAGACATGGCAGTTGCAATTATCTGATGAAAAATATGTTGCTCTTCTCCTATAATGCTTCAGAAAATTTTTCACCTGCTGAAATGAATTATTTCAAAATTCTTTCTGAGAAACCTCTTGTGAAGCCCATCTCTCGTAATTTTTCGAAAATATTCCACTATAGCTGCTGCATTCCTTAATTTTTGCAATAAAAGCTTTGGTTGGAGGACTTCATGCTGGTCTGCAAAAAATTTATTGGAGAGAATAGGCTTATTCCTGTCCTGTGTCTTGAATTATCTGAGTTTCAAACATACATTGTCATGGTCAACTTTAAATTTTGTGGTGTACTGTTTGTCTCAGGCTGAAAATTACACTGTGCAGCAGCTAAAAAATTATGCACAGCATGGATCAAGTATATGAGTGGACTGAGCGCACATTTATTCATTCCTCATCCAATTTAGTTATTTGCTGGAATGCTCACAAGATGCTGAGTGGCCGGATTGTGAACAACTGTGTTGCAATTGGAATCAAGCAAAGCAGTCATGGTCATGCTCAATGTTCCAGCACCCATCCCGAAGCCATAACCACGAGGCCCAAATGCTCTTCCATAACACTTTTTGCAATACAGCTGAGAGTCCCTTTCATTGGAGTTCAAACTATCCAGATGCACCTTGCAGACTCCTGAAAAATAAATATTTGAAGACTTTTGTGATGGGGCATATCATCATTAGGAATATCATCAAGGAAGGTTCATCTGTTGACAGTTGGAATTTGTTTACTTGAACCTATTGTTGGAAACAAGTTTTCACCTGCTGGAATACTTTCTTCATTTTTTCTGTTTGAGGAGCCTGTTTTCAAATCCATCTGTTTAAGTTTTTGAAGACATTCCTCATCAAATTGGCTTCATTGGTTCTTGAACTGATTTTTGGAAAAACAGCAGAAATCTTTTGGATACCTGCCATTAAGTGTTTCAAATAAAACTTTTTTAGAGTCTGCACAAATTTTATTCAACTCTGCCAGTCCAAAAAAATGTTCATGGAAATCTTCTAGTTGGGCCAAAATCACAGAAAGGTTGGAGAACACTGATATAGATGAGAGCTCTACTTATATATATATATATAGCCAACAACAACAAAAAATTATTACAAAGAGCTGTAGACAGAAAATTGAAGAGAGTCCTCCTGTGTTGAGAATTTCATTGTAGAGAAACTACAGTACAACATGAGGACAGAACCTCAGCATAAATCAAAACAAAAATGCGTTCTATAAAGAGAAAATCGTTGCAGATACAAGCAGCTCAATGTGGAGATTGTAGACACAGTCCACTAATGTGCCGAAAAAATAGTACTGTAGTTTCCTTTTACGATTTCTCCAGTGTTTTGAAGTCGAGTTTATTTCGATAATATATTCCTTACTGCAAGTGAAGCAAGTCTTGTGGTAAGTATTGCCTCCGATTATCATCCGTTCTGCGTGGTACACTCTGTGGCCGCAACGGGGACAACGCGGATCATCTGACACCACGGACACAATTGGCGCTGCTTCCGGCACCACTGCTGCTCGTCTGCTGCTGTGCACGTTACTGCTCATGATATGGTTGCTGTACATCTTTAGTTTCCCTCGATCAAAAATGTGGTGGATCAAAGGAAAGAAACCGATTCCACGGCTGCGTAATTTATAGTCTCTGATCGGATGAGTAACAATTTCCACTAACCGGCTCAGGAAAGAATGGGAAGGTTAATCAACGCGTGAGCGGAGAGCTGAAGGAAAAGTCGTTGAAAGTGTATGGTTAAGAATCAACTGCACTATAAGTCGATGATATGGAAAAATATTTTTTATAACTTTCGTTCGATTCGTGTTTATAGGCTCGGCTCTTATTTCGTCTCTGATGTGCCTTTAAGGAGAGGACATATTATCTCTATACAAGAGAAAAATCGGATTATAGTACAGCTAATTTAGGCGTCCTTATACACTCGTATAAGTGAGATTTCAGGGGTTTCGTAATTCAATACTGCAAGACTATCGAAGGTGCAGTACCAAAATCATGAAAAATGCTGTGTAGCAGGAGCAGCATGTAACATCTCCAACGAAGAGATTTTTCTTCTTCGTTGTAGATGTCGCAGGTGCTTGGATCCCTTGAATCAAGAAAATGACGCTTTTAATATACCTTTTACTGCTGCGTGAAAATTCAGTTATCGTTTGGTTGGTCTTTATTATGGGAACTGATAACGAAATTAAAATAAAACCTTCTTCAAATTTGCAATCATCAACTCACAGTATAAGAACACGCACTCTGATTTTGTAAAAAAAAAAAATTGTTAAAAATTGTGAGCTGCGTAAGACGCTCACCTCAGTTCTCGGAATAAACTTGCATGATTTTGATGAAAATGTCATGTACCTACTAGCGGTATTGCATTTATTCAGCTAATAAATGTACATTTTATTCTAAAAAGTAAGTTCGACAATTTGAATTATTTGTGCGGTTTAAGTGAGCGCATATTTTTAAAAAATGGAGAATCGAGCAGCAGTGCACTCCATCTTTGAGTTTTTGAAAAAGCAATAAAGTACCGCATGTTGAATAACACAATAGATAAAGAAATATTATATCTTCACATTTGAGCTAAATTTAATTTTATTCAAAAATGAAAATTCAAATAAAATGCATTGTATTATGTATTTCATTCAAGACTAAATTCCCATTTTTATCTACTTGCATGCTTTTTTAATAGCATTTTTTTTGTCCAGGGTTGCTTCAGAATTCGGAAAAAAATTCCCAAATTTTTATAAATATTCTTAATGGGATTATTTCTATTCACTCTTTCACAAAATTAGTGGCGTAACTGTAATTTTTTGTTTATTTTTCGGGAATGTCCAGTCATTTTAAATAATTTTGAAACCAAACTGGGAATAAAGCAAAAGTCGAGATGAATGCAATATGGCTAATTTGTTTTCTGCTTTTTCATGCTGTACATTTTATTTTCATCAAAGCAAATTCAGAGAGGATTACATTGAACTTAATTTCTCTTTATATAATTATTTTAAATATCGTCAAGGTCGTGTACTACTAAAGTATTTTCAAAAACGTGTGAGATAAACTGAAAATTGGCCATGTCATCAACTCAGAAAAAAATTGAGGGCTGGAATTTTTATTTAACATATATTTTAGTGCAGACTTGGCATGTAAGCAATCTCCAAGATCAGCATGATTTGGATGAACCTTGCATGTTTCCCAACAAACATTATCTTAATTCTCATGGGGTTCAAAGCCCAGGAGAATTTAAAATCGTAAATAATCAGCATCATTGATTAACCCATCATCTTGGCCTCAGATGACCATGTGTGTAATTCTTCGCAAAAATTTTTGTATGAGGTTGGCCTCTTTACAATGAAATCCGAGGGACCAGGAACAAATTCGTTGTACAAATATTTTCATAAAAACAAATGAGCGAAATAATTCAGGGGACCTGAAAAATCGCTGTGTTGTACATAAATTTTCGCTGTATATAAAACTTCTAAAGCATTGGTAAATAAAGAATCGTATACGGCACCAACAAAAGTTCATTATAAAAAAAATCGTTGTTGACAAGATCATCGTAGACGAGTCCACGTAAATAAACTTTTATTTTCCAGCACATGCACGTTGTGACCTGCAGCGGGATCTCAGGTTAAAATATTCACGTCACAGTCACACTGGACTCGTCGGAATTTAATAAAATAAAAATTAATTATTTGCGGGCTTTTTCGTGTGTTTTGTTTTGCCCTCGATATGCCTATAGAATACAGTTATTTTTCCGGGTGATTTCATATTGATATCTATAGAGATGAACCAACGGGATTCCTTGCTCTTTCCTATATAGCATAGCTCCCTATATACAATAGTCTTCTCTTATTTTTCGTTCGGCCCCCAATAAAAAAATACTGCATATATACGGACGGTTGCTGATTACTATATGGGAGAGCCCGTTGGGAATGAGCTTCCTGCATGCTGAGGGAACACGAGTTCATTTTGATTTATATTCTGAAAATGGGATTCGATTCTGGACTTGTCTGATGATCTGCTCTCTCTCTCTCTCTCTCTCTCTCTCTAGTTGCTGCGCTGCTTGCTAATGAGCGCAGTGAACGTCGTCGGCCGCCCCCGGAGTTCACTTACCTCGCAGTGTTGTCACATCCTCGAGAAACAATAAGCGTGGCTTCTTCGTCCATATGCTGCGTATATAGGAAATTATTATTATCATTTTTTCCGCGCAATGTCCCAGCCTTGAGAGTGGAATCCTCGGGATTTACATGCTTTGTCGTCGGAATTTTACAAATTATTAACTTGAGTACCAAACGCCCTTGAGTAAGAGTTTAAGACACGCACCAGCATCAGGGTTCTTTTGTCGGAAATTTTGGCAGAATAATTGTATCCGTGAGTAAGACACGCACCCCATTTTTAGTGACTCTAAGACAGCAATATTTCCACAAAAAAAATGAGAGTGCTCAAATTTGTATTTAAACATGCATTGAACTTTGAACATGAATTCAACTGTTCAATTGTGTTTTTCTGCTAAAATTAGTCCAAAGTGTTCCATTAAAATCAAATATAATGCACACCTAAACTTATAAAATTTAAAAAAATAAGTACTTTACTGTATCCTGTACCTGCCTGTGACGTGTACCCTTTTTTCCTCTTCATATATATATATATATATATATATATATATACAGTATATATATATATATATATATATATATTTTAAACCTCAATGACGATTTTTCCATAGAATCACACAAGCAGAGTTGAAAGATGCCCATAAAAAAGGATCACCAAAAATGTAGCAAAGGACAAAAAGAAAATAAAAATATTTGAGGATGATCTGAGATTTATTTTCATTTTTTGCTTGCATCCAGATCTGTATCGCACGCCTTTTTGCTTGATCAAGCTCATTTTGTTGTCTCAGACTAACTCAGACCAAGTTATGAGCTGATGAAATTAATTTTGGGAAATAGGAGGTTGATATATTCTTCTTTTTCTTCTTGGACTCTGATCAACGAAGTAGAAGACCTCTGACTGTATTAGTTACAATTACATAACTGCTTGAAATGGATTTTTCTTTTCTGAAATGGTTTTCTCTTTTAGACCAGCAGTGAATATCTATGTTCTTTACCGAAAGATATCATACTTACATTACTGTTGAAGTATCTGGGCAGAATCTACTATAAATAATTTCTAAATTGCTCTTTTTCCCTCAGGTCATCCTATGTCAAGTTATCAGTTGTGAAAATTGATCTTAGAAATAGCAGGTACAGGTATTAAATATTTCTTACTGTAAACTTTTGGGGAATACCCATAAAATTGACAAAAAATATATAATTGCTGTAAATATTGAGAATTTTTCTGGAATCTTCAATTGTTTTCTTTAAGTTCAAGTTTTAGCTGGTAAACTCAGGATGCCACCAAGGTTTCCCAGCAAGATAAAGTAAAAATAAGTTGCTACCTCATACAAAATCAATAAACTTTCACCTGTTCAAAATAATAGTTGACTGGTTTTCGTTTATGGGTACAGTACTATACTCTTTGATTTCCTGTCAAATGCGTTTTTTATCTGAGAGCGATAATGTGATGATTCACAATTGCTCCCTATGCAAATGCAGGAAAAAGATTGGGAGCAAACTACTCACGATTGCATAAGAAATACTGAATATTTAATTTGCTTCAATTTATTTTGGAAAATTGTAACAGCACTTTACAGCACTTTGTTTATAACATTGTGTCAGTGGTGTTTCTTTTAAGACCTTTGAAAATTTATCTTTCAATTATTCATTAAGTTGTGGAAATTTTTTAAATCGAATTTCCTTTTCTTCTAAGCTCTGACGCAAGAGGACCTAACATTTTTAAAGCAGTTATCTTACTTATTTATCATTCTTAGGTCTCCGCCCAATTTAAATGCACTTATATGTATAACCAATTTTGTTACAAAGAAGCTTTTTTCCTGGTTTCAATGGCTTTGCTAGAGCAGATTTGGTTCGTCCAGAGACAAAATTGAGCATCATTATTAATGCAAAAATTCCAACAAGGAAAGGAGAATTATTTTAGGGAAAAAATTAAAGCTGGATGTAGGCAGGCTTTACTCCAAAGTTTTCAAATTGCTTACGGTTTGTGCTTCTGAAGATTTTTTTATTTTCTTTCGCAGGAATTCCCGTAATAAAGTTGCTGGTTATAATATCGTAGATGCGAAATTTTAGCTGTTATTCTTTAAAAAAAGGACTCATTTCCTTGGGCAAACACGGAGGAGCAGCTTGACAAAATATATAATGATATATATATATATATATATATATGTATATATATACATATATATATATATATATATATATGTCTTGGAAGTTTCAATTGTTTTGAAATGTACCTTCAGTCTATATTCGTGTAATATATAAACGTGAAGCATGCGAGGGAACCTCAGAAAGTGCTGTATATTGCGGTCCTGACTTTTATTGGACCACAATATATATATATATATATATTACACGAATATAGACTGAAGGTACATTTCAAAACAATTGAAACTTCCAAGAAACGAGTCCTGTAATCTCCGGACTAAATACACATTCCTTGGCAACCCTGCCCTCGGGACACCAGGTGGGCCCGATGCTGGTACGTCCACAAAAGGCGTCTCTTTTATCATCGTTTTTCCTTCTTGTTCCGCCGATCGACGACGGCGACGATGATGGACAGAGGCCAGCGACCTTTGGAAGAAATTAGCCTCATAATCTGGATGAGGTCTCCTTATACGAGCATTTATCCTGTTGGTGGTGGTTGTGTTCAGAGGGGGGGATGGAAATGATGCATAGATATGTTAAGGGAGGTCCTAAAGCTGCTGCGCTTTTAGCCTGTCATGGTGAAGAGAATGAGGAAAATGTATGAGGGTTGATTCATAAGTTTTGGGACTTTTTGAAATAGATCCAACAGAGTTTCAAAAATTCAATTTTTTTTCTTCTTGCATAGCCCCATCATTTGGCAACACTTCAGTGCTGTTCAACCCATGGATTTCA